CTTAGCCGCTTGAGCCACAGGCGCCGAGCCCCAAAAACATTTTTTAAGACAGTCTCTGGGCTCAGCACCTGTGGCTCAAACAGCTAAGGCGCCAGCCACATACACCTAAGGTGGCGGGTTCGAATCCAGCCTGGGCCTGCAAACAATAATGACAGCTGCAACCGAAAAAAATTAGCCAGGTGTGGTGGTGGGCACCTGTAATCCCAGCGACTTGGAAGGTGGACGCAAGAGACTCGCTTGAGCCCAGGAGGTAGAGGTTGCCGTGAGCTGTGACACCACAGCACTCTACCCAGGGCGACAGCTTGAGGCTCTGTCTGAAAAAAAAAAAAAAAAAAAAGACAGTCTCTGCTGGGCACCCATAGCTCAGTGAGTAGGGCACCAGCCACATACACCGAGGCTGGTGGGTTCCAGCCCTGCCTAGGCCTGCTAAACAACAATGACAACCAAAACCAAAAAATAGCCAGGTGTTGTGGCGGGCACCTGTAGTCTCAGCTACTAGGAAGGCTGAGACTAAGAGAATTGCTTAAGCCCAAGAATTTGAGGTTGCTGTGATCTGTGACGCCATAGCATTCTACAAAGGCGACATAGTGAGACTCTGTCTCAAAAAAGAGAAAAAAAAAAGTATCTCACTCTGTTGCCCAGGCTAGAGTGCTCTGGCATCAGCCTAGCTCACAGCAATCTCAAACTCCTAGGTTCAAGTGATCCTCCTGCCTCAGCCTCCCAAGTAGCTAGGCCAACAGGCACCAGCCACCATACCTAGCTAATTTTTCTATTTTTAATAGAGATGGGGGTCTCACTCTTGCTTAGGCTGGTCTCAAACTCCTAAGCTCAAGTCATCCTCCACCTTGGCCTCTCAGAATACTAGGATCATAGGCATGAGCCACTTCACCCAGCCTCAAACTTAAAACTTTTTATTTTATTTTTTTTTAGAGACAGAGTCTCACTTTATCGCCCTCCGTAGAGTGCCATGGCAGCATAACACACCTCACAGCAACCTCCAACTCCTGAGCTTAGGTGATTCTCTTGCCTCAGCCTCCCGAGTAGCTGGGACTACAGGTGCTCACCACAATGCCCGGCTATTTTTTTGTTGTGGTTTGGCCAGGGCCGGGTGTGAACCCGCCACCCTCGGTATATGGGACCAGCGCCCTACTAAGCCACAGGTGCCACCCAAAACATTTATTTTTTGAGACAGAGTCTTGCCCCCAGTAGAGAGCTATGGCATCATAGGTCAAAGCAACTTCAGACTCTTGGGCTCAAGCTATTCTCTTGCCTCAGCCTCCCAAGTAGCTGGGACTACAGGCGCCTGCCACAACACCTAGCTATTTTTAGAGATGGGGTCTCCCTGTAGCTCAAACTGGTCTCAAGCTAGTAAGCTTAGGCGATACACCCGCCTCAGCCTTCTAGAGTGCTGGGATTACAGGCATGAGCCACTATGCCCGGCCTCAAACTTAAAAATTTTATTCTAACCTCCACTTAAAAGCAATTTCCCTTGTTGTTTCGTCTTCAAAATTGTCATTTTCTTTTTTTTTTT